CCCAGCTCTGCCAGCCCCAGGAGCAGCGTGCCCCTGGCACTGCCTGACACCCGGCTCCCCCACAGCTCTACACCATCTACCTGATCCGCACCGGCCAGTTTGACAAGGCCCCTGCCACCATCGCCCGGCGCTACTCAGACTTCGAGCAGCTGAACCGCCGCCTGCGCTGCCGCTTCGGCTGTGACATGGCCGGCGTTGCCTTCCCCAGGAAGAGGCTGCGCCGGAACTTCACCGCCGAGACCATTGCCAAGCGGAGCCGAGCCTTCGAGCAGTTCCTGTCCCATTTGCACTCCATCGACGAGATCCGCCGCTCCCCTGAGTTCCTCGAGTTCTTCTTCCTGCCGGACCTGCGGGCCGCGCAGCGCCTCACCTGCACCGGCATGTACCGCGAGGCCCTGGCCACCTGGGCCAACGCCTACCGGCTGCAGGACCGGCTGGGGGTCTGCAGCTCCGGCCGCTTCCTCCTGACATTGGCCGGGCTGGCCGTGTGCCACCAGGAGCTGGACCAGCTCGGCGAGGCCCACAGCTGCTGTGAGCAGGCGCTGCAGCTGCTGGAGGCCCAGGGCAGCCACCCACTGCTGGGGCCCTTCCTGCAGGCCCACATCCACCTGGCCTGGAAGGTGGGCAAGGACAAGCGGCGCTCGGAGGCCCGGCTGCAGGACCTGCGGGAGGCTGGGCTGCCCCTGCAGCAGCAGCCCTCCCTGAAGGAGTGCCTGATCAAGGAGCCTCTGGAGTGAAGCAGTCCGTGCCTCCATGGACAGGAGGGCAGGGGCTGCAGGGGACTCGCACCCATGGTGGCGGGGAGCAGGGCGCTGCCATGAGTGGGGATGTGGCAGGGGGGCAGTGCCACACTCCCATGGCAGCATGGCCCGTGCCTGGAGCTGCCTCCTAAATGCACTTTCTCTGTGGTTAGTCTGTCCAGTGGGACTGGGGGCTCACAGGGGTTCACGGAGGTCCACCACCCACAGTGACGTTGCTGGAGCCACTCCCCCTCTGTGGGGGATCCTGGAATGGCTGGGACTTTAGCTGGGACATACTGGCACCGCACAAGGGAACGGGAAGGCTTCTGGCAGGGTTTGGGGCTCTTGCCGGGAACTTCCCATAAAACTTATATAATAAAAAGGACTTTATTAAATAAAGTCTTGGCAGGAAGAAGACCAAAGTGCTTGCTGTGTCTGTTCCACCCCATGCCCCCAGGGCATCATCAGTGGGAGGCCTCAAGCCTCCACATGGAGGTGGGAGCTGCCTCATCCCATTTCCCTGGCTCCCAGCTGGGCCCAAGCCTGAGCCCAGCCCTGGGGAGGAGCCCAAGGGCAAGCAGAAACAGCAACTGAGGCACCAGGGCACACGAGCAGGGCAGGAGAAGCGAGAAAGGGAAGCAACGTGTGCCACAGCAGCACACGTGGCACAGGTTCCCCTCCTGTGACTCAGCTTGCGGCGGGGGCAGAGCTGGTCCCCCATTACCCCACTGCTGCCTGCCCTTGGGCAAGCACAGTCACAGATCCAAGGGGACAAACTCTAGGGACAGAGTCCAGCTCTTCACCCAACGGCTTTATTTTAAGGTGGCTGGTGGCAGCATGTGGTTACACACTGTGCAGCAGCCAGTTGGTCACACTGATGCTCTGTGGGTCACCGTCTGTCACAGACACCTCTGGCACTTGGACTCCACACTGGGCTGGATCCAGCCCAGTCTCCTTCCTGCTGCTGTCTAGGTCCTGTCTTGATCCCAGGGTCCTTCGCTTGGTACGCTTGAGCCCCAGCTTGTGGGGGCTCCTCAGCTAGAGCTTGCTCTGGTTTGGTCTCTGTTCCACCCTGATGACTCCTTCTTGTGCACAGGTGACAGCCAGGACCCCGTCCCTGCGCCACAGCCGTCCCTGCACCAGGCCCCGGCACCCGCCTGCACAGAGGAGCTGTCAGAGTGCAGCCACCACCCCCAGGATGGGTAGGGTAGGAGAAGTGAGAAGGGGAAGCAACGTGTGCCAGAGTAGCGCCTTCCCCTCCCGCATCCCAGCCTGCTGCAGGGACAGGCTGGCCTTGGCCTTGTGGATCCCCAGGGGACACAGCAAGGACTCACCAGCCCAGGGGCTCTCGCACTCATAGAGCATCCAGTGGTCAGCTCGGAAGGGCGCGTGGAACCACATGGAATGGTCAAGGGACACCATGAACTTGATGTGGTACTGCCGGTGAGGGAGCAGGGCCGTGCCCAGGAAAGCGTAGTCGGAGATGTAGGCGGCCACACAGCAGTGCACCTTCATGTCCGTCTCCCCTGCAGAGCAACCGGCACTGCCCGTCCCGTGGGTGTCCATGGGACACATCTGGGGCACAGAGCTCCACTGCCCCAGGGACAGCTGCTGGCCAAGCACAGCTGAGATTCTTCCAGACCAGCTCCCCTTGCCCCCCAGCACAGCTTAGGGCATCACCTCATGCTCCTCACCCACACCTGCATTGCAGCCTTGAAATGCCCAGGCTTCCCCACAGGCTGGGGTGCAGGCAGCCCCCAAATCACAGCCCTCTCAGCCCATTCTGTCGTGACAGTGCTCCACAGTGTGAGGTGGAGTCTGGGCCCTCAGCCCAGGAGGCACTTGGACCACCTTCCCAGCAGGACCCACCTATGTAGCCTCGTGCTCGCACCCAGAAGAGCTGCTTTGGCTCCTGTGGCTCTGAGCTGAACATATCTGGTGGGTTCACGGGTTTAATATCAATCGGCACATCTTCGGCTTGGATCTTGTTGAGATGTTTCCTGTATCTCTCAGCCAGGTTAGGATTCCTGCAGCCCAGCATGGAGAAACGAGGTTAATGCCAGGCAGGCAGAGGCATGTCCTGCTAGCAGTAGCTCCAGCCCACAGACCCAGGGGCACACAGAGAGGAGGGGCACAGCTCCTGTCCTGTCCTGCCCCTCTGCTCCCCTCCCAGGCACGTTTGGAAACTCCTCAGGCAGCCACCACAATCCTCCTCCGCACCTCCCTCTGTACCAGCCGCAAAGAAGGGCATCCCCAACATGCCCCTTCCTCCCCACTCACTGCAGGAATTTCTGGATGAGCTCCTCCTGTGTCAGCAGCTCCTCGGGGAGCGGCACGGTGGGCATGGTGAACTGGTGCTGCACTGGGCTCCCCTGGGAGAGCTGGAAGGAGGCCTGGCAGGTGAAGATCGGCTTTCCGTGCTGGATGGCCTTCACGGAGCGAACGGAGAAGCTCTTCCCTGTACGAGTCCTCTCCACCTCGTACAGCACCGGCACCTTGGGGTCCCCTGGGACAGCACAGCGACATTCTGCCGCCGGGCCACGGAAGGGACCTGCCCTGCAGGGGCCGAGCCCGGCGGTGCCACCCGCACCCTCCCTGCCGGGATGGGGC